CCTTAGGAAGCGGAAGACACTTGTTATGCTTGGTATGGTTTCAGGAACATGCTTCTACTTGATTTCCAAAAGACTTTCCGAATACAAAGGAGAGGGGTTGTCGGTTCACCTCAAAATGACAGAAGGATTTGCTTAAAAGAGAGCTTGCAAACTTATCGGAGACTGAGTCTTGCTCTGTCACCCAGGATGGAGTACAGTACTGCGACCTCGTCTCAAGTACAGTACTACAACCTCCTCTTCCCAGGTTTAAGCAATTCTCCTGCCTCAGCCTCCCTGGTAGCTGGGATTACAGATATGCAACGCCATGCCCGGCTAATTTTTGCACTTTTTAGTAGAGACGGGGTTTTATCTTGTTGGCCAGGCTGCTCTTGAACCCCTGAGCTCAACTGAGCTGCCTTGTATGTGAATTCTATGACCCAGGTCCCCAAATACCTTGAAACACCCTCCTTTACCCTTATGAAATGCTCCTCTGAGACCATAATGAAAGAAATTGTCTAGTCTACTAGAGGGTAAGAGAACAGGTGGAACGAATGAAGGTGACCCAGACAATGCCAGTATCCACTGCCAGAAACTTGGACCATTTACCCAAGTTGATCTAACATATTATGACCGCCCTATGTGGGGCCCCAGGTAAGCCAAGAGAGGAACCACCCAGGCCCAGCCCAAGCTTCAGAATCATCAGCAAACACATGGTCGTGGTTTTCAATCACAAAATTTTGGGATAGTTGGTTAGGACATTTTTCTTGGTGTTTTGGAAAAGTCACATGCGTATAGGAAGTCACAGATACCTTTGTGTTTGGGAAGGCAGATTATTACCATGGGAAAATCCTCTTTCTCCCGCCCTCTTTATCTAAGTCACTCCTATTCACTCACTTTTCAGGTCACAGATTAGACAACCTTCCCCTGGGAATTATTCTCTGACTTCCGCAGTTATACTACATTTCACGCACCCATGCTTCTAATGCCTGCTTTTCCCACAAGACCGAAGCCCTGGGAAGGACAGGACAGAGCCTGCCTCGGTCACTGTCATACTCCCAGCATCTACTTTAGCACACACCATCCGTGGAAAGAATTTTCTGCTTATGTGTTAGTATCTCCTCAGTCCTTCACGTGTTTACCGATCCTTTCACCACGGTACCCGTTTCACTACAGGATCATGATATGTGTGACAATGTTTCTCCTTAAATGATATACGCTCTGCCTCTGTGTCTATGTTCTGTTCATAGGTTTACATCTGATCACTAAGAGCCCTTCAAACCTTCCCCGAGTATGTGCGTATTTGAACACACGTGTGAAGCTCTCTGCAAGTCATCTCTTCTTCAGCCTACAGTATAAAAAACAGCTCAGGGCCTTGGGAACATCTGGCCTGGGATAGTACTTGACCATCCAGAGCCTTCTCCTGACAATTTTTCAATTGCTCAAAACACCTGCGAAGTTTAGCAACAAAAGCTTAGCACCACCAAGAGTGGTCGGACCAAGGCAGAGTAGAGAAAAATCGTTACATTCATGGCTTTGGATCTTTTTTCTTTTGTTAATGTCACTTTAAGCTCATGTTGATTTACCAGATAGCTTTGTTTTGCTGATTATACAGGCCTTGCAGCCAGCAGTCACCCGGGTGAAAAAGACTCCTGGGTCAGCATTCATTCACATCTCACCTCTACCTGAGAGCAGGCACTTTGTTTTACTTATTAACATTTTAGGGAACAAGCCACAGCATGTTTCATCTACTCTTGTTCTATTTTATTTTTCTTTTGAGACAGAGTCTCACCCTGTTGCCCAGGCTAGAGTGCAGTGACAGGGTCTTGTCTCACTGCAGCCTCAACCACCTGGGCCCAAGCGATTATTTCACCTCAGCTTCCGCCTCCTAAATAACTGGGACTACAGGCATGTACCACCACGCTCATTTTTTAATTTTTGTAGAGAAAGGGTCTCCCTATGTTGCCCAGGCTGGTTTCAAACCCCTGGCCTGAAGCGATCCACTTGCCTCAGCTTCCTAAAGTGCTGAGATTACAAGCTGTGAGGCCTTAGCCTTGTTTTAGAACGTATATGGTAATTGTACTTTCTCGGTGCTATTGTGATTCCAAGAGACCGTATTATGCAATGCTTATGGGAAGGTTTGAAGGGCTCTTAGTGATCAGATGTAGACCTATGAACAGAACATAGACACAGAGGCAGAGCGTATATCGTTTAAGGAGAAAAACTGTCCCACACATCATGATCCTATAGTGAAACGGGTAGCCAGGTGAAGGGATTGGTAAACACGTGAAGGACTGATGAGATATTAACACATAAGCAGAAAATTCTTTCCACGGATGGTGTGTGCTAAAGCAGATGCTGGGAGTATGACAGTGACCGAGACAGGCTCTGTCCTGTCCTTCCCAGGGCTTCGGTCTGGTGGGAAAAGCAGGCAGTAGAAGCATGGGTGTGTGAAATGTAGTATAACTGCGGAAGTCAGAGAATAATTCCCAGGGGAAGAATCTACACCAGGCCAGAATTCCATATTATATTTCACTTAACCAGAACTTGCTTTTGGTAGAAAAGCTTCTATTTAGCAATTGGTAAAATTATTTAGTTCAATAGTGATCTATTTGGAAAAGAAAAAAAAAGAAAAAGGCCAGGCACAGTGGTTCATGCCTGTAATTCCAACACTTTGGGAGGGTGAGGCAGGCGCATCACTTGAGTCCAGGAGTTTGAGACCAGCCTGGACAACATGGTGAGATCCTGCCTCTACAACAAAAAAAAAGAAAAAAAGAAAAAAAAAATTAGCGGGGCATGGTGGTGTGTGCCTGTGGTCCCAGCTAGGTGGGGGTTGAGGCAGAAGGATCGCTTGATCCCCCGACCTCCCAGGTATGTGGAGGTCGAGGCTGCAGTGAGCCAAAATCGTGGCACTGTACTCCAGCTTGGGCAACAGAGCAACACCCTGTCAAAAAAAAAAAAAAAAAAATTACAAGTGACACTGAATTTCATTTCCAGTGAATTTTCTCTTCTTCCAGCGCTGCAGGGGAACTCAGGGCTGTAACAAGAAGGGATGATTTAGAATTAGACAAATTTGGGATAGCATCTCTTTTCTGCCACCTGGTAAATCAATCCCCTAGAGTATTAAGGGGCGGGGTCAAGGATAAAATTACTTTCTCATGTCAAAGTACACATCTGTGTGGATAGATATGATCTTTTAGTGTGCGCATCGGTGGCCACCGTGCTGAGTATACTGAAGCATGCATGCAATTCGTCCTACTTCTTTGCTTTTTCCCCGCGGTGGCTTAAGTATAAAAGAGGTTCTAAAGAGATGGCAACTCCCTCCCAGCCTTGGAATTGGTGGCTCAGTGGCCTCGTCTCAGCTTGGAAGTCTTGTGTCTGGCGGTGTGTGTCTACACAGAGTAGTCACACCTACGTGGACAGTAACAGGGCGCTCTTTGTGAGTAGCCGCACATGTGGGTTGAGGAGCGGAGACAGGAGGCTCTGCAAAGCAAGCCTCGGAGCCAGCCCAGCTCAGCGCCCAGCCGCGAAGCCGTGGTGCCCTCTGGTGTTCCCAGACCATATTGCGTGGCTTCACAAGGCGGTTGGGACAGCTTGGAGCATCTCTGAGCCGACGCTGCCATCTCCTGGTGAGAGTTGCATTCAGCAAATCTCCAGAACTTTCAGCGTTCTAGGCTAGGAGCCACAAGGGCCGGGCCACTTTCGCCCGAATTCCCAGGGCCCACTTTTGGGAGGCATGAAAACACACAGGAAAGACAAGTTGGCTGCCAGCAGAGGCCCTGATGACTTCAAAACATCCTCCGGGCCGCCTTCCCCTACACAAATCTTTACCACCGCACTTTTGTGTGTGTGTCTGGGGAAGGGGTGGTTGGGTTTTTTGTTGTTGTCTTGTTCTGTCACCCAGGCTGGAGTGCAGTGGCACAATCACGACTCACTGCAGCCTGGATCTCCCTGGGCTCAAGTGATCCTGACGCCCCAGCCTGTTGAGTAGCGGGGACCACAAGTGCACACCACCACGCCCAGCCAATTTTAAAAATATACATTTTGCAGAGATGGTGGGGGTGAGGGTCTCACTGTGTTGCCCAGGCTGGTCTCAAACTCCTGGCCTCAAGGGATTCTCCTGCATCAGCTTCCAAAAGTGCTGGGATTACAGGCGTGAGCCACGGTGCGCACCCTGCTGCACTTCACAAACCACCCTGTGCTGCTTGTTCTCTTTCTGGTCTTTGAGGTGCCTGCATGATTCTGAAGCAAATTATGCGAAGATGTTGTTGTCAGTGGTAGGAATTAAGCAACTTCACCAGAAAGTAATTTTTCCATGTTATTCATGCATGTAAACAAATATGTATTCTAAAACAATATATACTGTTATATTTACTGTTTAACCTCATAGAAACCTTGCAAAATAGAAGCCACTTAAAGCCACACACCCAAACCTCTATTAGAACCTTTTCACTTGGCTTTGTGTGTACTTATAGAACAAATTAAACACATAAATACTAAAACAAAAAGCAATTCATAATCCTCTCCTTTTGGTTTTTTAAAAAAATTATTTAAAGTCTTAACATGTATTAACTTAAAGAGAATGGCATGAAATGAAGAAAAAGTCTATCTCCTCATCCTGTCTTCCCAAGGGAAACCAGTGTTAATCATTCCTCAAACATCCTCCTAGGTTAAAATGAAGACACCTGCCATGTATATGTAGCCAGTATGAATCTCAGTCCAACTAGGTGTGAAAAAAGCTATACTCTGTATCAGTCCGTTCTCCCCTTGTTATAGGGAACTACCTGAGACGGGGTAACCTATGAAGAAAAGAGGTTTCATTGACTCACCGTTCCGCAGACTTAACTGGAAGCATGGCTGGGAGGCTTCAGGAAACTTAAAATCATGGCAGAAGAGGAAGCAAGCACCCTCGTACCACGGCGAAGCAGGAGAGTGAGTGAGAAGCGGGAAGTGCCACACACGTTTAAAAGATCAGATCACCTGAGAACTCAGTATCGCGAGAACAGCAAGCGGGACGCTCACGCGCAAGATCCAATCACCTCCCACCAGGCCCCTCCCTCCAATTCGACGTTGGAGATTTGGGCGGGAACACAAATCCAAACCGTTTCAGCTTTAATTTTTAAAACAATGTATTTTGGGGGGCCCACATCTTGACAGGTGGGTGGTAATTATATGCCCCAACTGTTACCGGAGAGGGGTCCTGAACCAGACCCCAAGAGAGGGTTCTTGGGTCTCCCGCGGGAAAGAATTAGAGGTGAATCCATAAAGCGAAAGCAAGTTTATTAGGAAAGTAAAGGAATAAAGAAGGGCTACTCCATAGGCAGAGCAGCGGCCTGGGCCTCTCAGCTGCTCAGACTTAGTGTTAACTTCTTGATTACATGCTAAACAAGGGGTGAATTATTCGTGAGTTTTTTGGGTAAGGTGTAGGCAGTTCCCAGAACTGAGGGTTCCTCCCCTTTTTAGCCCATATAGGGTAACTCCCTGACATTGCTGTAGCATTTGTAAACTGTAATGGCATTGGTGGGAGTGTGTTTTAGTATGGCAATGCATTATAATTAACGTATAATGATCAGTGAGGACGACCAGAGGTCACTTTGGATGTCATCTTGGTTTTGGTGGGTTTTGGCCAGCTTCTTGACTGCAAGCTGTTTTATCAGTAAGGTGTTTGTGATCTTTGACCTCCTATCTCATCCTGTGACTTAAAATGCCTAACCTCCTCGAAATACAGCCCAGCAAAGTCTCAGCTTTATGTTACCCAGCCCCTATTCAAGATGGAGTTGCTCTGGTTCAAACGCCTCTGACATAACCTCTGAGGGTGATGTTAGGAATTATGGTGTGGGGCTTCACTGAGGGTCGTTTGGTTCTTGGTTATCTATTCTGCCAGGTGATTTTTGAGAGATCTGAGAATTCTGGACCTTTAAGAGGTCCTTGAACATTTCCATGGTGTGTGCAGGACTGGGGGGGTGGTTCTTTGACAATCCCATGTTTATATAAATATGTCCACTGGGCAGGTCTCTTTCAGTCTTGCGACTTCTTTGAAAACACTGCATAAACCTGGAACTCCTCCTCCAAGTCCGGGGTCACAGACCACCTGGCTTCTCTCCTGCCTCACTCCCTTCCCAACCCAGAGGAAGCTCTTTCTCATCTGCGAGGAAGCATCTCTTTTTTCTACTCCACTTTTGACAAAGTAGCCCTATTTTCATCCATGCCCGAGAACCTTATTTACTCTGTGACTTAAGATTTGGGCAAATATATAGAAGAATTAGAACGATCTCATTTCTTATTTGCTTTGTTTCTCGTCTGAGGCCATAATGAGAGGAACAATTACTTGTCTCCAAGAAACAGACATCAGAAAAACATCCTGGTTTTTTTTTCCACAGAAATTAAGTATATCAAAGTATTTTCCTGCTCTATTTTCCCATTATCTTTGTGGTTATGATAGTGGCCTGAATGTGGAGCATACTGATTTCAAACTCTAATTACAATGGTTGTTTCCGGTTTGGGGCAACTGTTAGTAAAATGTGCTATGAACATTTACGTATACTTTTTTGTTTTTTTAAACGGAGTCTTGGTATGTCGCCCAGGCTGGAGCGCAGTGGCACGATCCCGGCTCACTGCAACGTCCAGCTCTCGAGTTCAAGCCATTCCCAGCCTCAGCCTCCCGAGTAGCTGGGACTACAGGCACCCGCCACCACGCCCGGCTGATTTTTTGTATTTTTAGTAGAGACGGGGTTTCACCGTGTTAGCCAGGATGGTCTCGATCTCCTGACTTCGTGATCGCCCGTCTTGGCCTCCCAAAGTGCTGGGATTACAGGCTTGAGCCACCGTGCCCGGCCTTACGTATAATTTTTAATGAAGCGATGTATTTTCATTTCTCTTGGGTAAATACCTCGGAGGGGAATTTCTGAATCATATGGTAAATGTGTGTTTAAATTTAGAAGAAACTACCAGTTTTTCAAAGTGTTTGCACCACTTTGTGCTTCTACCAGCAATGTTTGAGTGTTCTGGTTATTTTACATCCTCCCGGCAATGTGTATTAATATTTTTACACATTAGTGAGCCTGTAGTAGTATCTCTTTGTGTCTTTTAACATTGTTTTTTATTATAATAATATCTAATTGCTTATAAAAGAAATATGGACTTAGTGTATTTCAAAAAGACAGAGAAGTAGAAAAAAGGAACAAAGCAGCAATTGTCATTATTTCATAACTATAGCACTTTGGGAGACTGAGACAGGCAGATCACCTGAGGTCAGGAGTTTGAGACCAGCTTGCCCAACATAGTGAAGCCCCGTCTCTACTAAAGATACAAAAAATTAGCCAGGTGTGGTGGCAGGTGCCTTTTATCCCAGCTGCTTGGGAGGCTGAGGCAAGAGAATCATTTGAACCCAGGAGGCAGAGGTTACAGCGAGCTGAGATGGCACCATCACACTCCAGCCTGGGTGACAAGAGTGAAACTCCGTCTGAAAAAAAAAAAAGAATTAGTTTATTTCCTTTTCATTATTTCGCTGTTATTTTTACATATTTATAATTCTGCATAAGTAATCTTGATTCTTGCTGTTTATATTTTAAAGAATCCTCGTTTTTGAAATTTATTCTTTCAAGAGTTTTTTTTATATATTATAGATGTTAAATCTTTATCCATAATATATGTAACATATTTTTGAACATTTGTGGTATTTCTTTCCATGCCAAATTTTTTATGTAGTCAAAGTTATCACCTCTGGGTTTTGAGTCATAGCCAGAATGCCTTTTCCTACATCAGAATAAAGAGAAATTCACCCGTGTTTCCATCTAGCACTTGTATGCTGTCATATTATTACATTAGATCCTTTATTCGCTTGTTCTTGTGGTGAATGGTGAGACATGGACCCAATTTTAATTTTTTCCAAATAACTATTTAGGTATAGAGCTATTTAGATTTTCTGTTTCCTTCTGCATCAGTTTAAGGGATTTGCGTGTTTCAAGAAATGTGTCCATTTCATCTAAATGTTTTAATTTGCTCTCCAAAGATGTTTATCACACACATACACCCTATTATTATTTTAATGTCTATAAGACCCATAATGACACAATGGAATAAGACCATACCTGAATGACTGATGCTTATGTAATAACATTAAGCAGAGGGCCTGCCACTAAGCACATGAGTGATTACATTTTATTTTTAAATTCCGTAATCTTCAGATGCCTGCAAGTGAATTGAACAAGATTACGTTTGGCGACATGACTGTTGAGAATATTAACACCATGTAGTGCTGTTGATGGAGGGAGATGATTTTTTAAAAGTCTTGGTGAGTTGGTTAGATGCTCCAAAGGTGTTCTCCTCTTATAGCAATTACTCAGTAACTTGTCATACTTATTATTCTATGAGATAATATGAAAATTAATAAGGTACATCCTCATCCCTTAGAATGTAAGCTCTCAGCCAGCATACAAAGGTGTGTAACATCAATGATCATACTTCATCTAGAAATGGTACAAGTAGTTTGATAATGAAACACAGAGGAAATAGAGGTTGCTCTGAGAGGTCAAGGAATGCTGTATGGTAAAGGGGCACTTAAAAATGAATAAATTCTGGTGTTTGAAGATAAAATACAATCAGAATAAACACAATGCAGGGAGAAAAGTCATATTCGTGAAGAAATCTTGCCTTGCATGAGTTGAGGGTAGACAAGCTGGGGTCCAGAGTGGTGGGAGGTAGTAGTGGGATGTATGTGATCTTTGACCTCCTATCTCATCCTGTAACTTAAACTACCTAACCTCCTCAGAATACAGCCCAGCAAAGTCTCAGTCTTATTTTACCCAGGCCTTATTCAAGATGGAGTCACTCTGGTTCAAACGCTTCTGACATAATCTCTAAGGGTGATGTTAGGAGTTACAATGTGGGGCTTCACTGAGGGTCGTTTGGTTCTTGGCCATCTATTCTGCCAGGTAGGAAAGGTAGGTTCACATAAGACCATCAAAGAGGGCCTTGCATTCTGGAATAAAGTTTCTGGATTTGACGCTGTAGTTCATGGGAAACCAGAGTAGTAAAGAGCTAAGAGTGAATTAGTTCTGACTGCAATGTGATTGATAAATGGAAATAAACAAGACTAGAGGCAGAGTGAGAAATAAAGTTCTTCCGTAGCCATGCAAGTGGCAATGCCAATGTGAGCTAGGATAGTGGTGCTCTGGAAAAGACAAAGATGGACGTGAGAACACAGCCAGTAGATATGAGGAAATAAGCACTAGGAATTTAACACAGTATTGTAAGTTCTATTTCAAAATTTCAAAAATACTTGTCTTTGCAATGCAAACTCAAGGAGCCACAATAAAAATATCAATTTTCTTCACAGCAGGACACCTGGGCAATGTCCAGAATGAATGCGCTTCAGTGAACCATTCTAATGGCAACCCTAGTTTGGCAAAATGAACAAAGGACCGTGAAGGGGACAGAAAGCCAGTAATTCCTGGATCCTTTCATGGAAAAGGGCCTTTGGAATTTTAAAAGTGACATATCAGGCCAGGCACAGTGGCTCACACCTGTAATCCCAGCACTTTGTGAGGCTGAGGTGGGCAGATCACCTGAGGTCGGGAGTTCGAGACCAGCCTGACCACCATGGAGAAACCCTGTCCCTACCAAAAAAAAATAAAAAAAATTTAAAAACTACAAAAAATTAGCTATGCATGGTTGCACAAGTCTGTAATTTCAGTTACTCCAGAGGTTGAGACAGGAGAACTGCTTGAACCCGGGAGGCAGAGGTCGTGGTGAGCCGAGATTGTGCCACTGCACTCCAGCCTGGGTAACAAGACCAAAATTCTGTGTCTAAATAAATAAATAAATAAAGTGACATATCAGAGCTAAGGAGCCATCAATGTAATTTAAAATTTTGAAATGGATGATGTGGATTTGTTAGAGAAGTCTGGCCATGGCCTAGCTCGTGAATAGTTTTACAGCATGGAGGTCATTAGTACATTTTGGTAATTGTTTTTCAGCTTCATTTTGGTAGAAACCAACCATTCAAGGGCCCTCAGGCTTAAAGGGAATTAAAATAGGGTATAAGGTAAAGGTCATTACTCTGTAAAGCTATAGCTTCCATTGACTCAAATGGAAAATATCATTTCCCTAAAGGCAGTCAGAGGACTCTCATATGATATAATAGAAGGTATATAGATTTTGGATCCAAGTGGGCTCATTTGTCTTCTTTGAGCTGTTTTTTGACCTTGAACAAAACACACTATCTCTCAGAAATTAGGTTTCCTCACCCATCTATTAAAAAAAGGGGAAAAAGACGGGGCGCAGTGGCTCACGCCTGTAATCCCAGCACTTTAGAAGGCGGGGTGATTACCTGAAGTCAAGGGTTTGAGACCAGTCTGGCCAGCCTCGTGAAACCCCGTCTCTACTAAAAATACAAAAATTAGCCAGGTATGGTGGTGGGCGCCTGTAATCCCAGCTACTCAGGAGGCTGAAGCAGGAGAATCACTTGAACCTGGGAGGCGGAGGTGCAGTGAGCCAAGATCGCGCCACTATACTCCAGCCTAGGCAACAAGAGCAAACCTCTGTATCAAAAAAAAAAAAAAAAAAAAAGGCGGGAGGGAATGGCAAACGATGCACACAATTCTTGGTAGAATTAAATAATGTGAAACAGTATCAGTCCAAGCCATATTATATAGCTACTTCATACATATAATTGTACCAAAAAAATGTATAAGCCCCTATAGTATCTGTGCAAGTCTCATTTTCAGTTATTTTTTTCACTATGTGGTTGCCAGTCAGGCTTTTCTTTTTCTCAAACAGACAAATATCCTTTCTGCCTAATGCTGTTACTTCTGTTTAGAATTGTCCCATCTCCCATACACCCTCCTCCCTTAGTCTTTAGGTCTCAGATTAAATGTCACCATGTTCGGAGGATCTTACTGATTTCTCTAAACTAGACTAGACTAGACTCCTGTAATCTCACTGGCAGTGCCCTGCAGTTCTTCAAAACCCTTTTCATAAAGTCATCACATCATTCTTTATGTGATTGTCTTTCTTCCCTGTTAGCTCCTGGAGGGCTAGAACAGAATCCTTCTTCATTGCAGTAGTTCTAGTATTGCCTACTACACTCACTGCCACGTTGCTAGTGGTTATATATTTGTTGAATGAAAGAATAAATGAATGAGTACAGTTCAGTAGCCAGACCTCTTATTTATTTGAACAACTGAAACAGAAGACAAACCACATGAGAAGATGCTGAGCTGAGATTTTGCAGCTGACTGCTGAAGCTGACTGTGAAATGAGGATGAGCATTCTGAATGTTCATTAGGGACTGTTCTTGGGATCAACTCCCATGGAAGAGAAAGAAAGGGGGAAAAAAAGGAAGCAGGATTGAGCAGAGGGAGAAATTTCAATGAAAGCATTAGCCACCCCCATGGAGAGTTCTAAAGATGGGTTGACCCTTCTGAGCTGCCCCATGTTCAGTCACGAGGGTCAGGTCTTCATGACTGATGGGCTTTTTTACACTTCTAAGTCAGTTGATTATTGCATGTGGCCTCCCCCAAGAAGAGGCATAACTTTAATGGCCTTGACTCTTGCTGAGGGGGATACTGAAGGGAACTCACACTGAGGGCAGCTTTCCAGCAGCAGCAGTACTTCATGCAGCTGCAGGAATAAGCCCTCTGTTCCCAAAGTGGGATCCATGTGGTGCAGTGCAACATTCACCCTGATTGACAGCATTTCGGTACAGATGTTCTCTATCAGGTACCCTGAGGGGGCTTGACTTGGCACTGGGTTTGGTAGCAGGGACCTCAAGCTCTCTCTCCCACACTGGCTGCTGGTGACTTTAGCCAGAGACCGTAAAAAGCACCCATTCATGAAATATATTTTCGTGGCTTCTATCTGGGTTACAACCCATGAAGAAGCAATAACAATGCAGAGATGGAAGGGAACCGAGTTCAGAATAAAGCGCAGCAATGGTTGTGAAGATCAATAGACTTGAGTTTAAATGGAGTATTAGCTATGAGAACTACAGAAGGCTGCAAACTTCCCAGAGCCTCAACCCCGTCATGGGTAAGAGGATCACTCAAAGTGCTAGTAAGAGTCTGTAACACAGCAGGTACTTTCCATATATGAATTCCCTTTCTACACTCCCCCCACCCCAACACACAAATGCACTTCAATCCGGCCTTTACCTTAACATCCCAACCATCCTCCACAATGGCTCTGGCACGCTAGACACCTGCTGCTTTCCTTGGTGGATTACCTCTGGTTATGGAGCTTGCCCTATCCAATGTGGCTGCTGATGCTACTGCTGGACAGCAGTATCTCTTAGCAAGTCCTCATTTGCCTCTCTAGTTCCTTTACCCCATGATATATGCTCAAATATACAAAGATGATATTTAGTACCCAGGTATCTCTTTTTCATAGTAAATATTCTTAAATCCTTCAGACTTAGCTCTCGTAATCTACACTTCAAAATCTCTATCATACTAGCCCCTTCCTCCATCTAAATGGGCTTTGTTTTGTTAATATTCAACTCAAACTGAGTTTATTACAGCTTTATAAAATGCCCTGAGCAGGGACAAGTTGGCACAACCATCCTTGTTCTGCATACTAGAGTTCTATTAATGTGTTTAAGGTGCAAAAACTGGTTTTTAAGAGTTATTAAACATTCTTCCACAATGTAATCTAAACCCTCAAGATCTGTTTCACAGGAACCTCTGCTAAATTGTTTATACCCTAACCCTGGTAGTTCGGCATCATATAAATTATTCACACATATCCCATGAGAATGTTGACTCTGACCTCTGTTTTCAGTTTCCATATACCAGTCCTCCTCTCTCCCTATGAACTATCTAAGACTGGGATTTCTGCTGCACACCTTGAAGTATGGAAAATAGCGACACTGATGCATGCCTTCATTGGTCACAACTTTGTCGTGTGTTTTCAGTGTTTATTTCAGTAAACTCTTTTTTAAACTTAAAGTTATTTTTAAAACATTTTTATTATCATATATAAAAACCTAGCAAGACTTGTCCTCAAAAGAAGATAAACAAATGTATTAAGGTCTAGAAAAATATATTTGCTTGTCAAAGGCTTTATTTTAAAGGGGACATTAGAAGTTTAGAGATGTGTTTCCGGCATTTTAAACCAAAATAAAATGGTTTTTTTAAAATGTATTTAAACAATTTTTGGAAATTTTTGAAAGGAGAATAACATTCTACCATGTGATTCAATGCTATTGAGCACCAGTGCCAAATAGATCACAAGTGAGAGTTGTCCCACACTTTGGGGAAACATCTAAGCCACTGATAAAAAATATTACATTGATGGATTATTTAGTATTCTTAGCTGGGATCCAGGGCGAACACATAGATATACTTATCATTCCCGTCGCAGCACAGACTTCATAATCCCCTTAATGAGGAAGGGAGAGAAACTGACATCTTATTTTATCTTTCAACAACTTTATTAAAACTGGGATTATCTGACTTTCTAATTTACAAGTGATGTAATTGAAGATTAGAGAGCAAAATAATTTGTCCTGGGTCACATTTTTAATTGTGAGGAAGATTCCAGGTTTGAACCCAAAATTCCTGACTCCAAAGGGTATTTTTATTTTTATTCCAACACAAAAAGTGGAAGAATTCAAGAACTCTTCCCTGTGATAGTTCAAGAATTCTCAAACCTGGGCATTAGAATCACCTGGCAGGCTTGTTAAATCCAAATTGCTGGGCTCTGCCCCAGTTTCTAATTCAATAGATCTGGGGTGAGACCCAATAATTTGCATTTCTAATAAGTTCCCAGGTGATGCTGATGCTGTTACTCCAGGGATCACATTTCCAGAAGCACTATCAGTCAATAGGTTTCCTTTTATGTCTGAATAAATGGTTTGCAACTCCAACTGCACATAACCAACTGAAAAATTTTAAAATAAATATACTCTGGTGTTATCCCAAACTGAGTGAATTATACCTTCTGAAGGGGATTCTGGGCACTTCAGAGCACTGCTATTGATTGCAGCATGTAGCACGGTTTGAGAATCAGTGGGCCACAGCAAATAGGGGTTCCAAAGCTTACAGTTACTAACACAAGTATATTAGTCCATTTTCATACTGCTATAAATACCTGAGACTGAATAATCTATAATGAAAAGAGGTTTAATTAACTCACCATTCTGCATGGCTGGGAAGGCCTCAGGAAACTTAAAATCATGGTGGGAGGTGAAGGGGGAAGCAAGGCACTTCTTATATGGCAGCAGCAGGAGAAAGAGAGAAAGAGAAACTGCCCCTTGTAAACTATCAGATCTCGTGAGAACTCCCTCACTGTCACATGAACAGCACGGGGGAAACCGCCCCCATGATCCAACCACCTCTCACAACCAGGTTCTTGTCCTGACACATGGGGACTACAATTCGAGATGAGATTTGGGTGGGGACACCAAAGCCAAACCATACCAGCAAGTGTGTTTCTGGTGGTTATTACCTTTGTTCTCTAGGCTTTCTTCAGATGAATAACTTAACTGCTGAGATTTTCCTCTAATTTGGTCTCCAGGCCTCTCTGGAGAGCGGCGATAAAGCTTGGCTGTCCTA